AGAATGAATGTAAAACTAATGTTCTCCCATGTAAACTGTCATATAATTCACAATAAATCATTTAAGAAAAAAAAAAGAAAAGCAATCAAAATGCATTTCACTGCCACGATAGCTTGAGTTCCAGGGTAAATGCTATTTGACACTAGTATGAATGGTGAGTGAGCTAGAAAGGAATATTTGATCAAAGTTTGGAGATAAGGTTAGGGTAGAGTTTAATATAAATATGACTAATAAAATGTAAGGATTAAGAAGAAAAACTGAGAAAAATACCGAAAATGTTGCCCTTTTTTTCAACTTGCTACACAACATCAAGACATAATGACCAACCAATTTAAAAGAGAAAATATAAATTGTAAATTAAAATGTTCAATAGTAATCAAAAGAAAGAAATACTAACATGAAACTCTCGTTTTTTACTTATTAAATTAATTTGAAGGAATTACAAAATTTGGCAGACTATCTCAAGAGATATAAAATAGGCATATTTCTACTTCTAAGAATTTATGCTAAGGAAATATTTTAAAATATAAATGTACAATATAACAGAAGTAAATTATAACATATGCATACCAATAAAAGCCATTACAATGAGCAGAAATGAACAGTTTACAAAATGAGGTAGGTTAAGTTAGAAAAGCAGGAAATAAAATTGGTAACCCAACACTGATAGGTTCAAAACCTATCCACTTATAGTGGTTGACAGCACATTCGAAGTGCAAGAAAATTACCAGGGAAAGGCATTCCTGAATGCTAAAATTCCAATTACTAAATAATAAAGCAATGATAAAGTCGGCAGTTCAAATCCAACAGTTGCTCCTCAGAAACCCTACACAGGGTCGCTGTGAGTCAGAACTGACTTGATGGCATTTAACAACAACTTAAAGCCACAAATATAATAAATACATATACAAAGCTGTTAAAATACAACAATTTGCTTGTAAACACAAACCAAAATATCATAGAACATGCTATATTTTAAAAAGTAACAACTGTTTAGAAACTTCCAAATCGAATGGAAACTACATTATTATGCATATTCAGGCCTAATTTCTAGGCATGCAGTTCTTTTTGGCACGAACCTATTGCTTTACTGGAAACTTCATCAAGTTTGTGGTCTCCAGCTGCTCCAGGTCTAAAGAATGCAATTCCTCCTTTACAGTAATTAAGTAATGACTGAGGAAAAGGACTCAAGGAAGGAAGGGACCCTTTTATCCGAATCTGAAAGCAAAGAATGATAGGATATACTTAATCAGCAAAAGTATATATTAATTCCTAAAGAAACTATAAAGGGACTAACA